CTGGCTTCATCTCCACAGCAGTGTAAATGTTGGATGTGTTTCTAAAAAGACTGCTTAAGTAATGCTGCTCTGTGAAACCTCAGCTGATATCTCTCTGATATTGTGCTCACTTCTCAAACCTGCTAAAACCAGATTCTCAAATGGCACCAAAGGAGAACTAGCTCTTTATGAGCTACTTATTTTTGGTCATAACAACCTTGTAAATTACCATTGAGGAAACCTACTTAATGGTGCATTCACCACAAAAATCAGTGACAAACCTATTTTGCATATCACTGTTTTTACAGACCAGGTTGCTGAATGTAACACCATGAATTATCTGCTTTTGTCTAGCATATATCAGCCTATAGGCCTTCAAGGTTTATTGGGAAACACATACAAAGCAATGGCTTTGCTTCTTACTTCTTAAATCTTGTGGGGCCAATTATGTACGTGGATATCAGGGCCTTATGAGTTACACTGAGTCTGAGCGACTGGAACGTGTTCTGCCTTTATAAAGAAGACCAAACCTGAGCGGGCCATTAGTGGTGTAACGAGTAGCTCCCGGCGCTCTGAATCCAATGATCTGAGTTCAGATTTCAGTGGAACCTCATAAAAAGAAACACAGGCTGTTTAGATGCTGGAGTGTTTCTTATGTAAGTAGATATTTAGAGTCTGTGCTGATTATAAAGTGCTGTTGCTTAGAACTTTTGATTTCAATGCCTGTAACTCCACATCAAGCAGCTTGACATCTGTGCACTTGGTCTAAGACATACTAAAAAAGACTCTCAGCAAGGGACAAGAGCTTTGTGTTAAAGGTTCAATCACCAGCTCACTACATGTAATTTCCACCTTTTCCATCACAAGTTTAGATGCATTTTTTTGTCTGAATATTTTATAGTCTTATTAGCAACCTCTGACAAGAAATATATTTTAAGGAGAAGAAGCATGTTTCGTCTAACGTGTGGATGTCTAGTCGAACCTCTGATGACATCAGCCTGAAGTGAAGCTTTAAAGGGGACATATGAGATATGAATGTGATAATAGTAATTTGACTGAATAAACTTTATTAGAACCAAGGAAAAATTATACAAGCTTGACGGTATTGCCATTAAATTCCTGAGCAGTTTCAAAGGTGTGCATATAATGTAATATAACTTCATGTTTCCTCAACCCTTAACCAAGAAATCCACTAGAGGGCAGGGAAAACCAGAGTGAAAGACCCTATTCACTGGCAGTTAAATTAGCTTGGTTACATTCATTCGATTAGCACTTGTTTTGATTTTTGTTTGTTTCTTCATAATACATTTAATAATAATACATTTTATTTGAGGGCGCCTTTCAGAAACCCAAGGTCACCTTACAAAAAACACAATTAATAAAAGGAACAGTAGTCATAAAATACATAAAATAAGTTCATTCATCTGGCAGTACAAATACAATCTCTATCAGAAGGATAACTTTGTAAGATTTATTGATAACAAATGAAAATAATGAATCATCACTGATTATTGTCGGTTACTGGGTATAACTGAGGAAGAACATTTACCCAAAGGGGGTTAAACAAGCCTTTGAGTATTACAGTATTTCCTGTGCTGCAGTTTAGTAGACATGTGTGATGAATGTAGCTTTAACACTCCTGATGATCTTCATCATCAGCTGTCTGTGATGATGATGCTGCAGCAAATGAGGAGGACATGAAAGACCACTCTGAACAAAGAATCATAGTGACAACAACGGGACAGATGAATAATAATAACAACAACAACAACAACAACAACAACAATAATAATAATAATAATAATAACAGATGAAGGTGGAAAACAGCAACAGCACTAAAGAAAAACAAAAAATAGCAACATTGTTGGTAATTACTGCATGTATTAAGCATCTGTTGGTCTTCACTGTTAAAGTAAGTTAATTATGTGTTTTGATCCTTGACACTGACTGTATATAAAAGATGGACATGACAAGCGAGTGTTGGCTCTGATCCTGACCTACTGAAGTCTCATATGGTAGTGATGTGTTAATCACGACGTTACTTTGAAGTTTACCCTCTGTTTTAAGTCCAGAGGTGACCATCAATTACAAAGTAATCCTCATGCTGTATACCAAACAGTACAATACAACTTATCCACAAAGTGCTTGTTCTAAATCACAGGCAGTAGATGCCTGAATGCCACGTACTTCTTTACAATGAGATTTAATTAATCCTAATCCGTTAGGAGCTGCCCCCTGATGGCTTTTGGAAAGAATTCAGGTTTAATGCACTGTAATGACGGCACTTTTCAGATCTACAAACTAGAGTGTGTCTTTTATATATGCTCTATGTTCTTTAACAGCCATGTCTTCCTCTCTGTCTGCTGTTTACACGTGTTATTACCAGGCAGAGAAATCTCAGCCCTCTTTCTGGTGCTTGTTTCATTTTCTGCTGCTTCTGTCAAACTTCTGTTCTTTGTTGTCATTTCTGGATTAGTACTAGCTCTCGACGCTTCAGCTGTTGTGATCAAAAAGGCGAATTTATTTTCGATCCAAAAAGCTCTCTCAGGAGATCCGTAACTTTGTCATCATATCAGAAATAAAAAGCACTGAGAAATCAAGCGAGGTCAAACATGGAGACAACACTGGCCTGTGTCCCATACTTTAAGTATGTTAAAGTTAAAGTGTTTTATTCTGGCATATACTGAAAAGCATCAGCTTTCCTGACCTACAATGTCATGGGTCAAACGCACAACTGGCAAAAAATGTCACCCTCAGAGACGCCTCCATCGTCATTGATGTCTCTCATACTGTTTACAGCACGTTTGGTGCTAAAGCACATCCGAGGTAAAACCGGATCATCAGGGCACAACATAAACATTTAAAATAGTGTAATTATCTTGATAACTGTGAAAGTTTGAATAAGTGTCCAAATCTATGACACTAGCACTATAATTACAGTGTGTGTTAAAATGCATTAGAACAGTGGTTCCCATAGAGGGGGGCGCAAGGGGAGCCCTATATGAATGATTTAAAAAAAAGAATGGTTGGACGCTGCTAGCATAATGGACAGGTTTTTAATGGGGCTCCTACAAACGCAAAGCAGAAGATGAAGCATCGCCAAATATGCTTCCAAGCCAAAGACTAGAAAATATGATGAAGCATATCTTGCCTTTGGCTGCACAACGGTGGTGCCAAGGTAATAGAACTGGGCTGTCCAAATTTATGTTGTTAAACCCATTTTTTTAAAATGCAATGTTGAATATTCTTACACAGTAAAAAACAAACAAACAAAACAACTACATGTAAAATAATTACACCATAAAGATGGTTTGTTTTTCTATTATTTAAAAGAGGTAGTACTTTATTTTATTGCTACCTGTGATTTATTACAGTTTACTTTTATGTGTTTCATTGTTTACAAAAGGTTCGAGGTGTAAAATGAACCGCAATGGAGTTTGAAAACAAAACGTGGTGTGTGTGGTTGGAGGATGTGTTTGTGGTGGAGAGGGGGGTTATTGTAAAAACAAAGGGGGGCCTAGCAAAAAATGTTTGGGAACCACTGCATTAGAATAAGTTGGGTAAACTGGTGCATTGGTTTTTTCCCCTATATTGCTGTTCAATATATTTATTTAAAAGATACTGGATAGTTTTTCATTTAATAAATGGGGGGTGCAGGTGTCAATGCACAGAAACTGGTAAATCTACTGAAGGACAATGGCTTTTCTATTCTAGGTTTATGAAATGTGCAGTGATATGACATTTAATAGTGTCTGTGAAGGTTCTCAGTCATCCAGGTCATCGCAACCTAAGGAGCTTGGAAAGAAAATCATCTGGACTTCTTTAAGTTGCTTGAAGATGTTTCACCTCTCATCTGAGAAGCTTCTTCAGTTCGAGGGTCAAAGGGTGAAGAGTCCCAGATTTAAACCCTATTGGAGTGTCCCCGCAAGAGGGACATGGACCCCCTGTTGATCCTCTACCTAATCACACGAGTCAAGGTGTGAATGCGGGTGTGGGTCACAATCAGTCAAGGTTTCAAGGGAACCCACTGTGAAACCTAGCCCCACCTTATCATGTGATTTCCTGAGGTCAGATGGCCCAGGATGTGAGTGGGCGTTAAGACGTCTGGGGAGGGAACTCAAAACTGGATTATAGATGGCAGACAGTTGGTGTCGTAAACCACCGCCTCTGTTCAAAGATGGTGCACTTCAGACCCAGCCAAACACTGGTTCATCCCAGAAAAAACTCCTAAACACAAACTTAACAGCGTTGTGTATGCTGTACAGCAGCGGTCCCCAACCTTTTTTGCGCCACGGACCAGTTTATGCCCGACA